ATGGACCACAGTGTGGGGATAGATTGTAGAAATCGGGGGTGGGATGGGCAGAGGAGGGCAAAGGGGGAAAAATTGGGACAGCTGGAATAGAATAATAATAAGCGGGTTTAAAAAAAAAAAGGCCATTAAAACTCATCGACACACTACTGGTCCAGATGGCGGCACAGGCAGACACGGCTTGCCACTTCGCACAACCACATCAAAGTTACAACGAAAATACAGAACCACCATCCCTCGAAATCATCAGAAATCAAGTTTAATGGAGTATGACAACTACAGCATTAAAGAAACCACATCCATACAGACTGGTAGGAGGAGCACACGCAGAACAGGCTGGTCCCTTACCCACGTGCGGTGGATTAAAGTTCTGGAGGGATATCTCAGGAGCAAGGAGGCCTAGCCCCACACCGGGACTCCCGGCTCAGGGTTCCAGTGCCAGGAAGGTAAGTCCCCACAACTTCTGGCAGCAAAAACCAGCGGGGATCGAGTCAGTGGAAGAAACTCCTGGAGTCCCAAGTAGTTCCTCTTCAAGAACCCACACATGGACTCACCTACTCAGAGCTACTCCCTCTGAGCTCCAGCACCAGGGTCGCAGCTTAAAAGGCACCAGTGGTGCACAGGGACAAACTGAAGTGCCTGGCATCAAGGCGAGCAGAGGCCACTGCCCCGTTTCCAAACCCTCCCCACACAGAGCTGGCGGGTAGGTGCCATCTCTGAGACTCCATAGACCTGGCTAACACTGATCCGCCTTGGGGATCCCCAGAGACTCTGCCCCACCCAACTTACAGGCCCACCCAGGCTGCTTTCCCCTATGAATGGCCGGTCTTGACTCACTCTTCACAACCTCCTAAATCCTCTCAAACAAGCACCAGCTGGCCTCAGGGAGTCCCAGGCCCAGCACTAGCAGCAGCCAGCCTCGATTCACAGCTTGGCTTCACCTGGGAATCTCCAAGCCCCGCACAAGTAGCGGTCATCTCAGATTGCTTTATAGCCCAGGCAGGGTGACCCTGGGGAAAACACAGGCAGGGGCTGACCGTGGCCTGCACCACCCGGGAACCCCAGGGCCAGAGCTCCCAGTGGACAGCTACAAACTGTGTCAGAGCACCACCACCCTGCCCCTGCACACGTGATCCTCCACGGAGGGCAGAGGTTGGTGGTCCATGGTCACAACCAATCCTTGCAGCTGCCTAGCCTGGGTAAATCCCTCCTATTGGTCTGCCAGCAGCAACCAAGGCTCAGTTACCAGAAGAGAGTGTACTCAGCCCACAGGAAGGGTACGCCTAGAGTACCCAGCTCGGGTGCGAGGGGAGGCTGCGCCACTGCACCCTACAGGACACCTACCTCATTAGGCCACACTACCAAGCCAGGGGCTCATAGCAGCTCTACCGAATACATAAAATAAACACAGGGAGGCTGCCAAAATGAGGAGACAATGAAACGTGGCCCAAGTGAAAGCACAGATCGAAAGTCCAGAAAAAGAGCTACACGAAATGGAGATGAGCAATCTATCAGATGCAGGGTTCAAAACAATGGTGATAAGGACGTTCAAGGACATTAGTGAGGACCTCAACAGCATAAAAAAAGATCCAGTCAGAAATGAAGGGTACACTAATTGAAATACAGGAACAATTTACAGGGAAACAAAAATAGAATGGACGAAGCCAAGAACCAATGATATGGAACCTACGGCAGCGAAAAATAACCATTCAGAACAAGAAAAAAGGATCCAAAGAAACAAGGATAGTATAAGCAGCCTCTGGGAAAACTTCAAGAAGTCCAACATTTGCATCAAATGGATACCAGAAGGAGAAGAGAAGAACAAGAAACTGGAAATCTATTTGAAAAAATAATGGAAAAAAAAAACCTTCCCTAATTTGGTGAAGGAAATAGACATGCAAGTCCGGGAAGCACGGGGACTCCCAAGCCAGATGGATGCAAAGAGGCCCACTCCAAGACACATCATAATGAAAATGCCAAAGGTTAGAAGTAATGAGAAAACCTTAAAAGCAGCAAGAGAAAAGCAGTTAGTTACCTACAGGGGAATACCCATAAGACTGTCAGCTGATTTCTCAAAAGAAACTTTACAGGCTGGAAGGGACTGGCAAGAAGTATTCAAAGTGATGAAAAGCAGGGACCTATAGCCAAGATTGGGCCACCTAGCAAAGATATAACTTAGAATCAAAGGCTCATAAAGAGCTTCCCAAAGAAAAAACTAACGGAGTTCATCACCACCAAACCATTATTATATGAAATGTTAAAGGGATTTAAGAGAAAGATCAAAACTATGAACAAAATGGCAAAAAATACAAATCTACCAACAACTGAATCTAAAAAAACAAAGCAAACAAGAACAGACACAGAAGCATGGATAGAGGGTTTTGATGGTTGCCAGATTGGGGGGCGGGGGTATAGGGGAATGGGTGAAGAGGCAAGGAGATTAAGAGGTACAAATAGGTAATTACAGAATAGACATGGGGATGTAAAGTACCATACAGGAAACGCAGTAGCCAAAGAACTTAAATGCATGACCCACGGACATGAACAATGCTGCGGACATTGCCAGAGGGAGTGGGGCATGCTGGGTGGAGGAGGGCAAAGGGGGAAAAATCAGCACAACTGGAATAGAATAATCAATAAAGTGTAATTTAAACAAAAGATTCAGACTTTTTAATGGGGAAAAAACCGGTAACAAAAGTGATACCATAAAAAATAAAAGGGCTGGCTGGCAAGTTCACAGCAGGCTAACATGCCATGATATTCTCTGCACTAGCAATTACAAACCATCAGTGAAGAATGAGTGGTTCTGAATCACCCAAGTCTCAGACAGCAAATGGACGCCCCATTCCAGTTACCTGAGGATCATCCCTGGAGCCTGCTATGGCTGACTCCTCCGGTGAACGATGGGACAGGCTGCTGAGAATCAACAGTGGGAAGTTGCTGGGCTCCAGGCACGGAGCAGCAGCTCCTGGGGCGGGTGGGCTGAGGGGTTGGGCTCGGAAGGCCACAGCCCTGAGCCTCTAAGGCTTTCCCACCACGTAAGCTGGGAGAGCTGAAGGCGGAGAGGCAGTAGGCTTCTGGCCCTGGTGGTAAAGGAGCAGCCAGAATTGACAGCCAGATGTATGAACTCAGGTGGGACGGTATCTGGGGGCACGGCATTTTCTAGCATGCTCGCTTCATCAGTGACATTGCAAGTAACAAAGGCCTTGAGCACAGATGAAGCTCATTGATTTAACTTCTGACTGTTCCCCTGGGGCCTCGTTTAAGGGCCCCACAAGAGACCAGTCTTTGCTCCTAGGAATCTGTTCACCCACAGAACGAGGTCAAGTGTTAAAACTCAAGTATTTGGACATATAAAACCACAAACTTACTAGAGCACTTCTTTTTCAATATAACCAATTAATACATAAATGTAACAAGGTGAAAGTAAATCGCATCTGAGGTTTTGATATTAGTTTTTGTAGTTATTTATTATATTTTAAAATCTGAGAACTGTAAAAACATAGTATTTGTATAAACACCTGAGGACTGTTAACTGAATACAGCATCTTCACTCAAACAATTTGAGGGAAGACCAACTTTAAATTAGAATTTTATAACACAAAAGGAATAACATAGGTGAAACCACCTTTTAAATACTTGCATTCTTGTATAAAGTACATTTGGTTTTCTAAAAAATAAAATGTACATTCTTGTCCCTGGTGTATATTTCATTGGCATTTTCAACAAGTGGCTAATACTTTTAGCACAGATTCACATAGCTTATAAACAGTATTCCAAAGTTATACAAAGTAATAACAATAAACATATAGCACCATTTCCCCCTGAAAGTTCTACTTTAAAAGTTAAGCCCAAAATGATGTCAGAATTAATGCACCTTCCAAATTTTGCAGTATAAATGGCTCAGAACTAAGCAAATTAACTAGAAACATTGCATAGGACAGAGAATTTCCCTGTATGGAAACCAATCTATGAATTGTTTCTTATCCCCTGAAGACTAAGCTGAGAGGTACTAGTGACAGCAAATGATGCACGTATTTGTTTACTGAATAAAAACGTCTTATTATATAAATAGTTTAACATTACCTCTGTGGCAGTGTAAAGTGCCATATTAAATTCAAAAAGAACAGATTTACTTCTTTGTACACCTACAGGTATAGAATAATATATAAATATGGTATAGTATCCATATGAGGAATAAACACAGACAATAAAATATATATATTTTAAAATTTTGGGCACAATTGTCTTCAAATAGAGATGTGAGAAATGAATGCCTACTTATTTTAAGTTTTAAAATAACAGGTATTTCGTTGAAAAAAAAATTAACCGGACTCCGTCCAAACTACCCTTGTAGTTAACATCTGCATAAAACAACTATTCTGTCTAGCCTACAACTGTATGAAATGTATCAAAAACTGGTAAGAACACTTTATGAAAGTTTATAAGCTTGCTTTTTTTCTTTAAATATGAACAAATACAACGTACAGAGAAATAACAAAAGAAAAATAAGTTATATGGCTATTCCCTTTCTGGAAACTGGTAGAACACAAACAGAACACTGTTATTACAAACATAAAATAAATGAGAAAAAGATGATATCTCCAGTTGTATCTTTAAATTCTAACAAAAATTTCTCATGGATTTTATTAGAGAACTTGTCAATCCCTGACACTTTCCCCTTTGGGATTTAGCTGTTTTGGTTCTATATATAAACCTTAACCAAAATTCAAAGGTGTTTTTCCCTGTTTCCTACATGAAGTATACTTGTAAACTGTATGATAAAATGTAAATTAATAAAAAGACATAAAGAAGTGCCAATTTGAATATACTAACACATTAAATGGAACATAAAGAAGTAGACTGGACTGTAATGTAGCTCTGCAATTCTGCATTTAACACCTTTTTAGGAACTGTCTAAAAAACTAAAACCGCTAAGAGAATAAAAATACTTTTAGATTGGTAAGTTATCAAGACAACTGAGAATTATGTCTAATCTAAACTTACACATTTTTAAAATTGTATTTCCCTTCTTTAAGTTTTTCAATGTAGTAACATAACTTTAGAGCTGGCCCCAACTTCAGCCCCATATACTTCATTATAACATCACTGTGGAGTAGTAGCAGAGCCTTCCCATCAATTTCCTATGGAGAGAAAAAAATTATAATAATTAAAAATGCTTTCACATTTTATCCACATGTAAAAGAGAGCAGCTATACATTCCCTATATATAGTCTCTGAATACATATTTATTTCTTGAAAATTATTTAAAATAGAATTTATACAATGAAGTATCATTTGGTGATTTTTAAATCCACTTCAAATTCTAAGAAAAAGGAAAATTAACCCAGAATTTTTTTAAAATGGTCTAAGCATCAAACTAATTTTAAATACTGTATGTTAAATAAAATACTACATTATCTATGAGAAAGGGTGAAGAACTGTAAGTGGTAGCAATGAATTTCAGATGGTCATTAACTTTCTTAGAAAGGCTGGGAATATGAGTATGTCAGCATCAAAGCAAACCATAAATGTGCTATACAGTGTTGCTTCTGGTGAAAGCTCATCAGTTAGTTATCTGAAGCTAATTAGATGCTAAAGAGAATTATTAATTTTCTTGCAATACTGAAAAGGATACACTAGATATTTGGTCACAAATATGATTTATTAGAAAATATTATAAATATATTACTTAAAGATATAAGGCATCCTCCTAAAGTTCTTTATTTCTTTAATTAACCAATTTATGTCACAGAAGCATATTATTTGGTATTCATGAGTTCTTAGTTAAAATAAAGATGCACTTAATCTTATACAGTTGCTGAGTGCATTGGCATTGTAACAAGGAGGACACCCTGTTATAACCTGTGGTCACCCCCTCCTACTCATGGTCCTGGGGCCAAGCAGGGAGTAGGTGGGGAGGAGGATCCTTGTAGCTGTTGTTACAAAGGAGAAGACACCTGAAAGTCAGTGACCATACTGAATCATTTCTTGAGAACTTGAAGACCTGCAGTATTTTAGGTACTCGGGTACCCATTTAAAGCACAGATCCAGCCTCTACTACTGAAGGATCTAACTTTGAGCAGAGTAACCTTTCTCACATAAGGAAAGATCAGTCGATAGGGTTTCTCCACCATCCACAATAATGAGCATCCAACTGAAGAGCCTGCACAGAGGTTACTCAAAGACAGGAAAACTGAATCAAAAGATACATTACATGTTGCCTGAAGAGGTCAGCGAGGGGGCCTGATATCCTAGGATCTTTATGCTTCATAAACTGTATCACTTCATCCACACACCAGGTTGATGGGTCCTTAGAGAAGCCTTGTTTCAGGACACTGGGATCAGGTACAGCTATGTAACTTGGAGCTTCAGTGGGGGAAAAAAAGAAAAATCATACTTGACCTGATCATTATCCTGAAAGAAGAGATGTTAGGCAGGGAGTATTGGTCTCATTCCTGGAACCATGTGTTAGGTAGCCTGGCAAGGACCCAGGACTCCAAGTGTAAAATCCAGTGAAATCTTAAAGATGACATGAGGATGGGTACCCATGAGCATCCCATCTGACTGCCCACAAACAACAAAAGCAGCTTCAGAAGTTACCAGAAAGCTGCAAAGATCATAACATAGGCTGAACAACCCGAAGTCTCTTTGGCCACAAACAAATACAGCAAAAGATCTATTGCTTGGGTTAATTAGGTCAACCTAAGCTAACCTATTACTCTCAAGTATTTCAGCAAATCTCTCTCAATCTCTCTCCTCTTGTTCTGTGTAGATTAGGTTTATTTTACTAGCTAAAAACAATGGAAATTCCCCAAAATTAATTTTGTAATTGCTTACATGTATTCACTTTAATCAATGAATTTCAAAGCCTATTATTTTTGAGACCCAAATTAGTTCTTTACTGAATCTCTCCCATGTAGTCGATATGTACATTTTTAACATTATTATATTCTTTAAATTTTTGCCTCTCAAAGTTCAAATATTTATCTGAATTTTGAGGAAAATAAGTTTATTTTCTGATTAGCTAGGTCAGAAATAACTTTAATATTATACTGAATATTAATGTAATACTCATTATTAAATATTGAATAGTAGTAGATATTTTGGGCTCTGTCCATTTCAGGGACATTCTGAGTATTTATCAAGGGAAAGGGCAAAGAAAGACAGAAGATAAAAAACTGACAACGGTCAATATTTTTGTGTGTCTTACAATTTCATTTATTTCTTTTTTAATATTGTAACTTTGATGTGAAATAAAAACTCTTTACTAAAATATATTTTCCGCTTCCATTTGTCAGAGATAAAAATGTTGGACATATCTATGAAGAGATGCTACAGGGCTAAATTAACCAAAGTAAAAATGATGATGGTACAGACCATGCCATGCCCAAGGCATTCTAATAATTTAGACAGAAAGGTCTTCTTTAACTCAAGAAAGACTCAATTTAACATAAACTTATTGGCAAGGCAACTCATACCATGAAATTATGTTTTGTGGTATTTCTAGTTTCTGTCATCAGAATCAGGTATAGTTATATCTTTTTTCCCATTTACAATTTACTAGCTCTTCCAGTGTTTCAGAGTGATAAGGGAGTTTCAATGATCTTACATGGTGAATGGGTCAGGAGGTGGACTTATAACATATTGAACAAATGTCTAGATTGAAGCAGACTATTGGTGCAGTTTTTCAGTCTATTGATAATGTTAGGCAGTTTTCCAACCAGGTGATCTAGTAGCTCACAGGGGGAATACAGTTATGTCTTTTTTCTTGTTCTGTTTTGTTTGTTCATTTATTTAGTTGTTATATATTCCATATGTAAGTGAAATCATATGGTATTTTTCTTTCTCTGACTTGTTTCACTTAGCATAGTACCCTCTAGGTCCATCCATGTTATTGCAAATATTAAGATCACATTCTTTTTTATGGCTGAGTAATAACCCACTGTATATGTAAACTTGAAAAACATACAACTTGTTTCACAGATAAACTATAAGTAAAGATATGATTTCTGGCATAAAACTGTAATATTATATTAAAAATAAACCAACTATAAGAGCATCTATTTTAATTTATTACAGAAAAATATTTAATTGGTTCCGTGTCTTCAAAACAATCAGAGAATGTTGCAAACATTAAATCAGTGTTATTCAAGTAATTACTTCAAACAAACTAATTGTGTAAAAAATAAAGTCCAGTCATGCTTTTCTCCTGAATGGCTCTGTCTTATATATACTAGGATATCAGTAAATATTTCTGAAATAAAGCAAAAATTACTTGCTTTTATCCCTAACAATGTTATTGAATTTTTCTATAATAAAAATCAAATATTTGTTTCAATCAAATAATGGGGCAGGGCAGGAGTTTGTGTGAGCATCACCAGCTATCAAGGGTGGACTCAGCTTTAGGTAACAGTTCCAATACCTTAAAGAAAATAACACTAGTGATACCTCTAGATAGTTTCCAAGTGAAATGCTTACCTATTTCTCTAGAGATGTGAGCAGCACAGCAGTTAAAGAGTATGACCCTGGATGGGGCCACGGGAGCCTGGGTTCAGGCACTGGCCCAGTTACTTTCACTTTAATCAAGTGACTTCTCAGATTTTTCACCTAAAAATGTTTACCAGCACCTACATCTCACGGAATTATTATAAAGAAGTCATATACAAGGCTATGTAAAATATTATGTGCCTGGCACATAATGTCAGATAGTGAAGAAGATGATGATGATTTTTATTACTGTTAAGTAACTACTATTAAGTAATGTTATTACTATTAGTTTTTCCACTCTTAGCCTTCTCAAGCCCCATTACACGCTACTTTGGCATGGTAGTGTTAGGAAAACATTTGGAAGTAAGATATTCAGCATCAGAGGTAACCTTTTAGAGCCTTTTACTAAGAAGGCATGTCTTCAAAAGCTCATATTCTGTGAAAAAAATCCTAAACATTCAGGGTACATCACTCCTTTATATAATAAACATCTATCTTCAGACTCCCTACAAACCAAATCACTCTAAAGGCAGAGGCAATCTACACAGAGGCAATCTTTAGCATTACAGTGGCTTGGCCCTGATAGTGATGTGGAGATGACTCTGCCTCCTCAATTTGGCCCTTTCTCCAATGTGGTACACTATTAGGGATGTTACTGGGCATGGGAAACTTAAGGGGGAAAGACAAAACACATTGATTGAAAATCACCACTTTTGAATGTACCTTCTCTGTTCTGCATTTGGAATTCATGGGGACCACTCTGGGTAAAGGATGTATCCGCTAGTGCTGAACTTGAGGATCCTGGAGCACTGTCAGAAAAATTCTTGGAGACTGTAGAATCAGTGCTTATCAGAGCTCTGCTTGCAGGATTCAAAGAATTTTCTGAACTTAGTGGTGAGTCTTTGAACTCTTCAGGAAGCTTCTCCTCTATGGACATGTCATTTTCCTCAGAAGAAAATAGTTCTTCTAAAAGAAAAGAGGCAAAAGTGATTATCTTCAACTGATTTATGGTTCAAATACTATGAAAAGTTCAAAAATCTCCAAATCTTTAACAACAATTCACTTAAGCCATGCTACAATAAACCACAACCCTTTAACACATAGTAAACGGCCATCCCCTTCTTGGTGTTTATAGTAATGAACACTGTCTTGATACCCAAATTTATTCTATGATACCTCCTGCATTTCTCATGGCTACTATCCCTTGCCAGTCTTGCCACCAAGACTGTGAACAAACACCTCACTAAACCATTCATTTTTAGAAATGCCATTCTTCATAACTCTGTTATAGTATGATCACACAGTTGGTTTCTAACATTTGCTTACTACTTGGGCACTTAAAATTTTCACTGGAGAAAGGTACTAGGTTTTTCTATTCCTCTATTAGCTTTTAGCAGTATAAAGCTGAATGAAAACATTTTACTGAAATGGTTTATTTTTTAATCTAAGTAGAAACAACAGTTGTGCCCTTCTGAAGGAAATAAAGTGCTCAACAAAGCTGCCAAAGTAGTAGCCTAATTGCCAAAATGATTTAGGCAAATACACTCCACTACCTCCAACACCACCATCCACGAACACACATAGAGAATGACTTTTCTTCCCAGTCCCGGGACATGTAAATACTATTTACCTTCAGAGGTGTACATCTCTGTTTTGGGGAGCTTAGGAGCAAAAGGAGCCACATCAGATACAGGTTGCTCAGAAGGCCGTTTGGTGATTGGTCTTTCAATTACCTCTTCTTTCACTGTTTTCAAAACAAGTGTCTGTTATAATTAAGATATTCTAGCATTTTCATATCATCAGCATAAAACGCTTGTTTTTAATCATTTTCCTACTATGACTTCATCAACAATTTATCAATTATTCAATTGTTTATGAGTAACTTGTTCATTTCATTCTATTAAATATTTCAGTGACATCATATTCAAGAGTTTAAAGAATTATGTCCAGGCTTTATTTATTCTAGGGCCATCACATATATCCAAAGATCTCAGGAGACAGTGAGGAAACCAATATAATGTGTCTAAAAAGGCCTGAGAAATTTGTTCCCATGAGCAAGAAAAGTTAAAAATTCAGAGTAGTTAAGGAGAAGATAGGGTACAATGAACACCTCATTTTACAGGCAAAAATCCTGGCCTATGGCTATCATTGCAATAACTCATTTATCATTCAACCAAATGCATTTCTAGCTAAAGGACCACTCCTTAAGGCATGATCCTAAAAATTAAAACAACTCAAATTATCAATTACACTAAATAGTAATCAATACCTTGATTTAACCTCCAACTAAAAGGAAAACTAAAGTATAACAGAAATCTAAAAAGTCTGATAGTAGACCTCAAAAGAGAAGAAAGAGTGAAATGAGAAAGTACCAAAGTCAAACTTCATCTAGTTAAAAATGGCTGGGGGCTAAAGCATGCCTCTCGAAATCATCTGATGAGCAACCTTTAGCCATTAAGTTACTAATCAACTACTAACAACTCTAAGAGAGTTCTTACCACTTGATTTTATTTTTAATCATGGACTATAAAACCAAGAGGCAATACATATTTTGGTGAATGACAAATATTTCTACAATTAGGACACTTAAATTTGAAGGAAAGAAGTAATTGACTTTTTCATACCCATTTAATGACATAGAAAATATGAATAAAAAGTATAGTTTTCTACAGATATGTGTTTACCTCAGGATCTTAGCATGATCAGAAAAAGTCTTTACTTATCTTTTACTTGTATCATTCTAATGCTTTCTGTATGAAAAGTTTAGGAAGCTGGTGTATGGTCTACTATCTGGTGTTGATACAAACATAAAAACTGACTCCTGATTTCTGTTTCTGGTTATTTTATTAAGCTCAGGCATAAAACTGTACCTGCAGAGATAACTAGAAAAAAAAACAGATAATTTAAAAAATACTTTAAAAAGTCATCATAGAGAGACACTTCCAGGATGACTGATTAAGGACTTCTGAAAATCCACTCCTTCATAAAAATAATGAAAAAACTGGCAAAATCAAATTTTTTAAAACTCTGGACATTAACTAAAGGATTACAACAATCCAAAAATCATTTATTCAAGAAAAAATTGCCAAACCCCAGAAAGAACAGCAAATTATATGGCATTTTAGCTTCCTAATGCTGTACCCCGTTTATCCCAGTTTTGCAGCAGCCTTACAAACAAACACCTTTGCAATTATAGTAGCTATGAAAACCAGTAGCCTAGCAATTACTGGAGGTTTGGAGCTCTCCAAAAGCCCTAGCCCCAATGAACTGTCACTATGTGACCAATCTCGCAGATAACTAAAAAGCTTTGATCTCAGGGCTTGTTTTATTTGACCTGAATCAGGGCCTTCCCTGTCTGAACAGTCTATCTCCAAGGCCTTGTTAAAAAAAGTTATATATATAGAGAGACAGACAGACAGACAGACAGACAGACAGACGCAATTGTTTAAAATTGCAGCTACCTAAAGCAGCAGTACCAGTTGGGGTTGATAAGAAGTTAACCAAAAAGCTTGAAAGGAAAAACTGGAGAATGAGATGTCCATTAGGATGAAAAGCACCGAAATATTCCTGGGAATCCAGACGGCATTATGCATGCTTAGCAAAGTACAGAGAAGGCCCTAATCTTTCATTTCTTGCTGACCTTGAGATTCTGCACAAAGAAGATTTATAAACTGCCTCCTGGAATGTTGAAACTAAGTCCCAACACACACATGAAACCTCTCTACAAAGACTGGGAGACATACCAGTTCTAGACATTTAAGGAAATACCTGTCCAATCATAAGTTGACCACTAAGCTAACTGAGAAAACTTCAGTAGTTACACATGACAAAATCAGCTCAGGAAAAGTCATTAAGTTAATCGAGGAAAGTCACTAAACAAATAAACAGTACCAGCAACAACAAGAAACCCTAGAGATGGGGAGGAAATCTAATTATCAGAGCTACTGCGTTTTAAGTTTTCAATTAAAAATTTAGGAGACATGCAAAGATATAGAAAAGTATGGTCCATACATAGGGAAAAAGAACAGTCAATAGAAGCTGCCTCTGAGAAAGCCCAGACACTGGACTTACTGAAGACTTTAAATAAGCTATTTTATATATGTTCAAAAAACTTTTTAAAAATGTCTAAAGAATTAAAGAAAACTATGAGAACATTGTCTCACCAAAGAGGGACTATCAATAAATTAAAAAAGAATTAAAAAAATTGAGACTTAAAAAGTAAATAAATGAAATGAAAAAATAATTTCACTGGGGGGCTTAACAGCAGATTTGAACTAGCAGAAGAATCAGCAATTTTAAAGAAAGGTCAATTGAAATTATATAGTTTGAAGAATAGAAAGAAAAAAAGAATGAGGAAAAGTGAACAGATGCCGGAGACCTGTGGTATACCATCAAGCATAACAAAATACACATAATGGGAGAGTTCCAGAAAGAGAGGAGAGACAGGAGTAGAAAGAATATTTGAAAGTAATTGTTAAAAGCTTCCCAAATTTGATGGAAAACATTAATCTGTACATTTAAAAGCTCAAAAATACCCAAATAGGATAAATTCAAATACATCCACACGGGGGTTGGGGGGAGAACCGTCAAAAGCAAAAGACAAAGAGAATTTGAAATCAACAAGAGAAAGCAAATCGTCCCACATACAAGGGAGCCTCAGTAAGACTAGCAACTAACTACAAACTACAGAAAGAAGTGGGATGACACATCCAAATCACTTAAACAAGAAGATGATCAACCAAGAATTCTATATTCATCAAAATTAACCTTATAAAATTAAGGACAAAATAAGAAATTCTCAATAAACAAAAACTGAGACTTTTCCCATAAGCAGTTTGAGGTGACGTCTGAAAATGTTTCTCTATTCACTTGACCCAGAAAGCACCACAAAATCATGCAAATCAAAGGTTCAAATCTTTGTGTTCACTTTAGGAACCCTTGTGAAACTGCTCAGGCCATCAAGGGTATACATACCCAAAAACCCACCAAGGATGTCACTTTCCAAGAAGCAATTGTTACAATGGCAGAGTTGGTAGATGTGCCCAGGTCAAACCGTGGGGCTGGATGCAGAACTGGTGGCCAAAAAGAGTGAATTTTTGCTGCACATGCTTAAAAATGCCAAGAGTAATGCTGAACTTAAGGGTTTAGATGTAATTCTCTGGTCACTGCACATATCCAGGTGTACAAAGCTCCCAAGATGCCACGCAGAACTTACAGAGCTCATGGGCAGATCAGCCCATGCATAAACTGTCCCTACCACATGGAGATGATCCTTACTGAAAAACAGCAAATTGTTCCTAAACCAGAAGAAGAGGTTGCAAAGAAAAACAACATATCCCAGAAGAAACTGAAGAAACAAAAAGTTATGACCCAGAAGTAAATTCATCATCAAATAAATGCTAATAAAATTTTTTAAAAACTAAGAGAATTCCTCAACTGCAGAGCTACCCTACAAGAAATATTAAAGGGACTCGTTCAGGTTGAAACGAAAGGACACTAGACAATACAGCAGTCCCTCTTATCCATGAGGAATATGTTCCAAGACCCTCAGTGGATGCCTGAGACCATGGGTAGTATCAAACCCTACATATACTATGATTTTTTCCCTATACATACTACCTATGATGAAGTTTAATCTATGAATTAGGCACAGTAAGAGGTTAACAACAATAACATAATAAAATAGAACAATTAGCCCTGGCTGGTGTGGTTCAGAGGATTGAGTGCTGGCCTGTGAACCAAAAGGTTGCCAGTTCAATTTCTAGTCAGGGCACAAACCTGGGTTGCAGGCCAGGTTCTCAGTTGGGGACATGCAAGAGGCAACCAACTGATCATGTATCTCTTGCACATCGATGTTTCTCTCCCTCTCATTCTCTCTCCTTTCTCCTCTCTCTAAAAGTAAGTAAATGGAATCTTTTAAAAAATAGAACTATAACAATGTACTATAATAAAACTTCTGTGAATGAGGTATCTCTCTCTCAAAACACCTTATTGTGCTGTACTCACCCTTCTTCTTGTGATGATGTGAGAAGATACAATGCCTACATGATGAGATGAAGTGTGCTGAGTGACGTAGGCATTGTGACGTAATGTTAGGCTACTATAAGGGTTAGCTGAACACACGCGCTGTAATACCATGACGGAGATCTAATAACTGAAGAAGTTACTAAATGTCTAATGAGCAGGTAGTACATGCAGTGTGGTCACACTGGACACAGAGATGATTCACGTCTGGGTGCGGCACGGTGACAGTTCATCATGCTATTCAGAATGGTGTGCATGCAATTTAAAACTTAAGAATTGCTTATTTCTAGAATTTTCCATTTAATATTTTGGGACTGCAGTTGACCATGAGTAACTGAAATGTGAATAAGGGTATTGCACTAATAATTTATAAAGTCATGTGTAAAGATACCTTCAACTACTGTATAAAGTAAAACATCTGTTGTGCCAAAACAAAACCAAAAATTAGTTCAAAATAGATCAATGACCTAAACAGAACAGCTATAAAATTCTTAGGACACAACATAGGAATAAATCTTTGCAAACTTGTATGAAAGCAATATTTTCTTAGATGTGACACCAAAAGTATAAGAAACAAAAGAAAAAATAGATAAACTGCACTTTATCAAAATTAAACACTTTTGTGCATCAAAGGACACCATCAAGAAAGTGAAAAGACAACCTACAAAATGGCAGAAATTACAGGGTGCAGCAAAAGTAGGTTGACAGTTGTGAGTATGCAAAACAGTCTGTTGTTTTATTATTATTATATAACTGTTTCTTATTTTCCATATGAACAACTATGCATATGGAAACTTTGCACCTCCCTGAATATGCAAACCATATATCTGAAGTGGAATTTGTATCCAGGATATATAAAGAATTCTTTGTATATTATATTTATATGTGACAAATATATAATAAATATAAATATATACTTCTATATAATAAAAAATTAAAGAACACAATTTAAAATGGGCAAAGGATTTGAATAGATATTTCTCCAAAAAAAGATATACAAATAGCCAATAAGCACATGAAAAGATTTTCAACATGCAAATCAAACTACAATGAGATACTTTTCAGGTTTTGATTCTCAAGTTCATTATAAATACAACAAGAAATTACTTTCTCACTTTGAATGAAAAAGAAAACAACTATATATTACACATGTCTTATTATCATTGTACATAAAATGTTTATTCTGAGGAGGACACAAGGAAAAACTCTGAATTAAACAAAATTCTTGAGTTAATTATAAAAGTAGAAGCACAGTATAAAATTATATATTCTCTCTTACCTGCTTTAATTTTATCATCTTCTGTAGCACTATGAATATTACCTCTGTAAGCACTAAAAGGCTGACTACTCAAAAGGTTATCACACTGCAGGCTGTGGCACAAGTTTTCAAGAAAGCGAAGAGCAAATGATGCACTGTTCACTGAAGGGAGCTGGGCACAGTGAGCTTCCCCATCAAAGAAGGCTATTGAAAGAAAAAAAAATGTCAAAGCTATATCATAAAAAAATGAGAACACAATAATTACCAAAAAAGCCACCAACTTAGCTAATGTAACTCAAATATGTGGAGTTTTGTAATTTACAAAGGAATGACCTTAAATTATAAAAGTTCCTCTCAAAATTCAGTTGCCTATATTTGTAAAATCATTCTCATTTAAAAATATTCATCAAGTAAACAACAGAAACCTGCTGATCTATAACAATACTTTCTACTATTTCTAACAGTCCATAGGTACAAATGTTATAGAGTATCTGATCACATAATCATGAAAGCTATATAATTGTCTCTTAATCATATCTTTCTTTTAAAGAGTATATTTAAAGATTTTATTTATTTATTTTTAGAGAGGGGAAGGGAGGGAGAGAGGGAGAGAACCATCCCTGTGTGGTTGCCTCTCGTGCACCCCCTACTGGGGACCTGGCCCACAACCCAGGTATGTGCTCTAGACTGGGAATCAAACCAGCAACCCTTTGGTTCACAGACCAGCACTCAGTCCACTGAGCCACACCAGCTAGGGTCTCTTAACCACTTCTTGAGTCACATTTTTATTTAGAGCTTCTTACAGATCAGTCTGTTTTCTAAAAAAATTAAAATTTATTATCAACCAAGGTACTTTGTATATAGTGAGCTTAATAAAGCATGTAAAAGAAAAAATATGTACCTTTTATCTCAATTTACAGTATTACTCTGATACTGTGTATTCTAAAAGTAAAGTTAAACATTCCAGCCCTGACTGGGTAGATCGGTTGGTTAGAGCATTGTCCTGATACACCAAGGTTGCGGGTCTGATCCCCTGTCAGGGCACATACAAGATGCATCAATAAGTGGAACAACAAATCAATGTTTCTCTCTCTCTCCCCCTCTCAAATCAATAAATTTTAAAACTTTTTTTAAAAACTGAGGTTAAACATTCCAAACTGGGTTAAAAGTCTATAAATATATAACTATTATAAATATTCTATTATAGCAATATAATAAATATTCTGATATTATGAACAGTTAATAGGACAGAAATATAAAATAATTCACATATTATAAAATGTTTGCATCTAAAAACAGAATATCAAATTAGGAAAAAAAGATGAATAAAGAAGTAGATGAGCATACCAGTTATCACTTCTCCATCATGATTATCTTTCTTAAGAAATCCAAAAACAGTTTTACTTTCAATGGCACAATCCACACAGGCCTGCACAGTCTGCTGCAGCACCACATTCACAGGGCCTGGGCCAAAGTGGTCAGGCAACTGCTGGATTTTATTCTGATCCAGGTGAGGGCCACAGTCTCCATGTTTGTTTATATAGACACAGACTTGAGGGAAAAATGTGTATACAGACATAACAAACAATGAAATTAGCTTAAAAAACATAAATACTATGTAATCAATTACTATTTCTAATTAGCCATACTTCACTCAAGAGAACCTATAGTTAGTATCAATGATCATGTATTCTACCTAAAAATATGTAACAAAATATATTTTTACATTTGTGCAAAGATATTAAACCTAGATAAAACTAATCCAAATGCTTATTCAATTTTCAGAATTGTGCCCAAACCAATCATAATAAAAACTATAAAACAATTCATCATACATTCCCACATTATATAAAATGACATAAAGATAGATAAATATTTTCACCTCTTAACTGTACACACAGTATAGAAATTTTTTTTCAGAACTGGTCATGTTAGAACAGAGAGCCCAGAAATAAATTCATGCCTAATATGGTCAATTAATCTATAAGAGAAGAGGCAAGAATATACAATGTGGTAAAGACAGTCTATTTAATAAGTGGTGTTGAGAAAACTGGATGGTACAAAAAATGAAAGTAGACCATTTTCTTACACCATATACAAGAATAAACTAAAAATGGGTTAAAGACTTAAATGTAACACACAAAACCATAAAACTCCTAGGAGAAAGCATAAGCAGTAAACTCTCTGACATTACTCTTAACAAAGGAAGCAAAAGAAAAAAGAAAACAAATGGGACTACATCAACCTAAAGTTTTTGCATAGCAAAAGAAAACCTACTGAATGGAAAATGATATTGGCCAATGACACATCCAAAAACAGGTTAATATCCAAAATGTAAAAGAACTTACATACAGTGACATCAGAGGAATGGCAACATGAGAGATACCCTTGGTCTCTCCCCTTGAAGTTTCAACAATTTAAACAGCTATAATTCAACAAAGAACTCCCTGCTCAATGCACAAGCACTGTCTGAGAGATCCACTCATTAAAACATCTAGAGGTAGGAGAGTGGGAGTGAACCAGGAAAGCGAGAAGGAAGAAAAGCCAAGAGGAGCCACAGACACAGCCCTGCAGCCAGGAGCTCACTGCAGATCTCAGCCCAGAGAAAGGAGGAATCAGGCTGTGGCTGGCACTCCCTTCAGCCAGGAGGAGCAAATGAGCATTCCTGCAGGAGTGAGCAGTATAAACTGCAAAGTCCACTGACCTGGACAGCAACAAAACACAAAGGTGCAGCCACAGTTGGTCTGACAATCAGCATTCCAGAGAGAGACAAAGCCATGGAGCCTGGTCACCTTCTCTCATCTCCCCTCACCCTTCCGGTAGGGTTGCAGAGCACATTATCTGCAAACCTGAAACTGGTACTACAGGAACACTTTTTCCCTAAGCAAAGGGTATACTCTGTGACTGATTCCAGGGTCAGGTGAAGGCAGAGGGGAAACATCACAGAGGTCCACTGATCACTACTGCTGGGAGGGCAAAGCAACAAAGGAGGTGGCCAAGTTCCCCCAGTTCACTCCACCTCCACACATTGGCAACTGAACTGTCAGCAGCAATTGGCTGCAGAGGTCAGCACTGGAATTTCAGAATCCATCGCCCAAGCACACTCCCGTCAAGGGCTGTTTCCCTGGTAACCAGATCACAAGTAAGGAGCCCACCTTCCCAGGGAACACAGGCCATTTTCCACCACCTGGCAGATCCGTGAAAAGCCAGAGAAGTGCAAGAGAGCTGAACAAACAAACAAACAAACAAACAAAAAACCTTGTGATTCACTGCCACCTGCTGGAAAAAAATATTTTTGTCAATATACTAGGGCAATGATTTTCAACCTTTTTAAGCTCATTCATGGCACACACATATTAATTATTAAAATTCTTTGGCACACCAAAAAATATATTTTTTGCTGCTCTGACAAAAAAAATAGAGGTATTTTTTATTCATTCACAACAGATGGCTACTGTTGTGTTGGCTGTTGACATTTTTGTATTTGACAACCTCAAAGAACTCAGTGACTCTGACTAAATAAATAGGTATTGCATGTTTTAAAAATTCTTGTGGCATAGCAGTGTGCCTTCCATGGCACAGTGGTTGAAAATCACTCTACTAGAGAAGTGCCACTCATACATAGATTCCTAGACAAGAGAAGGAATCCATCAAATACCATGAAGAACCAAATTAAAGAGGCAGCTCAAAGAGAAAATAAAAAATCTCCAGAAGTATGTGATTTAAATGACTGAGGATTTATGATTGCAGTTCTGAACTCATCATGCTTATTTTGATGCAAGAAAACACAGCTAGGCAATTTAATAAATTCAGAAACAAAATCAATGAACAAAGTAAGTATATTACCAAAGAGATTGACACTTTAAAGAACCAAACAGAAATTCTAGAGATGAAGAACTCAATAAAAGAGATAAAGAATGAACTAGCAAACACAGGAAATAGAGTTGACCAAATGGAGGAAAGAATTAGTGATCCTAAATAAATACAGAAATGATGCAGAAGGAAGAAGATAGACTTGAGCATAATAAATAAATAAATAAATAAATAAATAAATAAATAAATAAATAAATAAAAGACCTCTATGAGACCCATCTGACTCTATCAGAAAGAACAATATAAGAATAACAGGCATACCAGAAGAAAAGAGAGAAGGGAATGAAGAGCCTATTCAAACAGTTGACATGAACTCCCAAACCTGTGGAAAGAGAGAGATCCTTGATCCAAGGAGCGAACAGAACACCTAATGACCTCAATCCAAAAACACCTTCTCCAAAGTACATTGTGTTAAAACGGTCAAAAATTAATTACAAAGAAAGAATTCTCAAGGCAGACAGGGAAAAATAACCTCTAAACAAAAGTCCATTAGATTATCATCACACTTCTCAGCAGAAACTACAAGCTAGAAGAGAGTGGAAATAAATATTCAAACTATTGAAAGAGAAAAATTACCAGCCAGAAACAATATATCCAGCAAGTTATCCTTTAGCTATGAAGGAGCAATAAAGAGTTCTCCAGACATACAGAAGCTAAGGGAATTTATCACCAGAAGACCTCCATTGCAGGAAATATTCAAGGTTATTCTACCTGGAACAAAGAACAAAGGGTCACAAAACTATGAGTAAGATCACCAACAAACTTACAGTATAAATAGGGATAATTTGTGACATAAACACATATGGGGAAGGGGTAAAGGTCTGACTTGCAAAGGGGGATGGAGATTAGATGCATTTAAAAGAAAAAGAACTACTGTATAGATGAAACTTTCTTTTTCATAAACCTAATGGTAACCACTCACAAAAACCCCCAAAACCGGGACACATAACTTAAAAAAAAGGGGGGGGGGGAAGTATGGAATACCACCAAACAAAAACAACAGATAGTAACACAAAGGAAAAGAACCAATGGGGTGCACAGCTACCAGAAAACAAAAGACAAAATGGCTGTAGGAAATCCTTATACATCAGTAATAACCCTAAATGTGAATGGACTAATTCATTAATGAAAAGGCATCGAGTAGGAGACTGGGTCAAAAAACAAAAAAAAAAAAAAAGACACCATATGCTGCCTTCAAGAGACACATCCAAGTTGCAAAGACAAAGACAAACTCAAAGTGAAAGGGTGGGCAATCATTCTCCAAGCAAATAGCATCCACAGAAAAGCAGGTGTAACCATACTTGTATCTGACAAAGTACATCTCAAGATAACAAGGGTAACAAGAGACAGAGATGGACATTTCATAATGATAAAGGGGACACTACATCAAGAAGACATAACACTTTTCAATATATATGCACCCAATCAGGGAGCACTGAAATATATACAGCAACTACCAACAGAACAAGAGGGAAACTGACAAAAACACAATTATAGTAGGGGACCTAAATACTCCACTGACAGTTCCAGAAAGAATATCCAAAAAGAAAGTCAATAAAGAAATATCAGCCTTAAATGACATATTAGGCCAAATGGACATAAGTGACATTTACAGAGCCTTTCATCCCAGAACATCAGATTATACATTCTTCTCCAGTGCACATCGAACATTCTCAAGGGTAGTCCATATGTTGGACACAAAATTAGCCTTAACAAATTTAAAAAGACTGAAATCATACCAAGTATATTCTCTGACCACAATGCTTTGGAATTAGAAATCAACTGCAAACGAAGAGTAGAAAAAACCCACCATAAATAAGTGGAAATTAAACAAACTACTAAAAAATGACTGGAACAAAGAAGAAATAAAAGGTGAGATCGAAAGGCATGTATAGACACACAAATGAGAATGACAATGTAACATACCAAAACTTCTGAGATGAAGCAGAAGTAGTAGTAAGAGGGAAGTTTATACCACCACAGGCCTATCTCAACAAACAAGAACAATCTCAAGTAAGCAACCTAATATTACATCTTAAAGAACTAAACTATAAAAAGAACAAAGGCACCCAAAAGTCAGCGGAATAAAAGAAATAACAAAAATTAGAGGACTTCCAGTCAAGAGCAAGGTGTAGGTAGACATGCTTTGCCTCCTCATACAACCATAGAAAGAATTACAACCAGATCTGAAAACTAGTAACACCCGAAACCGTCAGAAAATTGAGCTGTATGGAAACCCAACAACCAAGGATTTAAAGAAGACACATTCATCCAGACAGGTAGGAGGGGTGAGTCATAGAAATGGGCAGAGAGGTGGTATGACATGGAAAGGCCAGCAGTGGCAGTAAAACTGATAGAAGGGACACCTTGGGAGTGAGCAATCCCAGATCGAGGCCAGACTACACAGCCCAGGGTTCCAGCACTGGGAAGATAGATCCCTGTTATTTCTGGCTGTAAATACCAGCGGGGGTTAGGATAGTGGAAGAAACCACCAGATTTTCACCACTTAAAGGGCCAGCACAGTATTAAAACATATGTAAACCCACCCACTATGGGATTTACCACAGGGGTAGCAGGTGGAAGAACACCAGTCGCACAGAGGAAAGAGGTGAAGTGACAGGAAATGGGGCGAGCACCCAGTGAACCACCAGAAGCTAGGCAGTGGCACTATCCCCTCT